AAATAATAATTATTGAAAGGATTATTATGCGTTTATTTTAAAATAAACCTTAACACCTCGCTAATATATAAATAACACATTCGTCATCACTACTATTTTCACGATGTCTTCTCGGATGCCGCCTACATTTTTCGGGTGACTCGCCAGGCGAGTCGCCGGCACTGCAAAATAAATTGAATCGACTCGCCACGTACTTAACGTGTTTAACGCAACTAAAAAGTGTTTTAGGACTATTCGGTTTGATAACAATTTAAAAAATAATTTTTTAAAACGTTTAAAATCTGCCGAATTAAAATTAAATGCATAGAAGGTACCTTGTTTATTTTGTTATTGATTATTTTCATTTAACTAATGTTAACAACGTTTTACCAGGTGGAAGGCCTTTTATGCAAGGTACGACTAGGTGGGTAGCACCGCAGTGCCAGATATTCTGCCGCTAAATAGTTATGCGTAAGCGTTACTCTGTTTCAGTTTGAAGGGCACTATAGCAAGTGAAATTACTGGGCACATGAGACTCAAGAACTGACGTCTCACGGTGATGAGCGCAGTGCAGTGCAACCAATGACTTTGTAAATCAAAGCAATGGGTAGCACTGCAACTGTTATGAGCTGGCATTACGCTTACCATCAGGTGAATGTCCAGCTCGTCTCATCACTTGTTTACATTAAAAAAAAATATTTTTAATATTTCATGTAATATTTAAAAGCTGCTTTATTCCTATTTTTATTTTATTTTAGAATATCTCCAAAATTTGACTGAAGACAACTCAATGAAGGTTCTGTTTGAAAATGATTCTCAAGATTGGGATGACGACAATAATAACTATCAGACACGTGACATTTCAACAAATACGATAAATTTAAATCTTACCGAAAGCAGCACTCAAACTAATACTACAGATAATTCATATGGATGATGATCATAATGTACATTTTAGTAAACACGACTGGTATATTGACTCGGGCACAAGAACACATTTGACGGCTAATGAAAATTGGGTAGATAATCTCTATTATGAACAGAAAGATGAAATAATAGTTAGACACAAGAATAAAGTCCTTAAGAAGTGATAATAGCCTTGAGTTCTGTAATAGAGATTTTGATTCATATTTACAGCGGGAAGGAATAATTCATAAGTAAAACCCTTACAATCCGGAGTAAAATGGCTCATGTGAACGCCGTAATCGCTCAGTAATTGAAAGGGCGAGGTGCCTTTTATTTGATGCTCAATTAAGCAAGGAATTTTGGGCTGAGACAACAATCTGTTTCTACCTTAATGTCGCTTAACGGAAAAGCTTAGGCCCATCTAGTCCTCCTATAAATTATCCTGAGTAAGTATCTATCTATAACCATCTGGTGAAATCTCAAGAGGCCCAACGATATCGATGTGCACATGCTCAAAACGATCTACTGTCGAAAATTTAGTCAAATTCGATACCGTATTGCCGGAATACTGAAACGCAACTTAAATCTTTGAGCAGCTCTTAAATGTTTACGTCATGGTAACATTAATTTATGTGATTAGTTGAGTAATGTCTCTGTATTTCAATTAAATTCTTGTTCTTCTTGACAATTTTACGATATTTGAATTTAAATACGTTTTATGCAACATCATCTAAAAAGATTTAAATAATTTTATGTTCAATTTGTTTTAAAATTATATTCAAACATAATCTCCTAACAATACTTTCATTTAGAATGTGATTTATGTGTTTTTTTTTTTAATATTGCGTCAGTGTCAGTTTCTTTGACCGCGTCCAGCGATTTTTAAATATTCGAATTATTATTTAACATATTTTGTAAAATTCAATTAAAGGCTAACTACAAATTATAGTAAAATATGGATGTTAAAAAGAGACGCGCATGCAATTATACAGTATCTGAGAAAGATACTTTATTAGAATTGATAAAAAAGTAAGTAAATATTTAAATCGTCAAATGAAACAAATTATTTTAACCGAATAGAATGTCCTATATTACATTGCGAATTAAATAAAAGTTGTTCATATTGTAACACAAGTTACATATTATTTCAGATATCAACATACTATAGAAAATAAAGAGACGAACGCCTACATTATTTTGAAGAAACGACAAGCTTGGGATGGTGTGCAAGGAATACAACGCTGTTGCTGTACGCGGTGTCAAAACGTGGTAACAATTAAGACATGTTGGATTGCATGGAGATGTATGTAACGGTCTAAAAAGAATGTTGCCAAAGAAAATGTAATCTTTTATTTATATTGGAGACCATAAATATTAAGTAGTCACGATTTATTGTAGTCGTATTATTTCATAATCATTTTGTTTTTAGAGACTATAGTACAATGAAAAAAAAGAGGCCCAAAAAAAGGCATCAATAGATAAAGTATATATGGCCATATATCTTGAAAATAATTGATTAAGTACCTATTAAGTAACTTAGTTTTTTTAGTTTTTATTTTTATATAGAAAGAAATAACTTCTACTGGTGGTAGGTCCTATACATCAGTTCTAACTCAGGAAGATGCTCAGATTTTAGCAATGGTTGCTCCACGAGTGCAACCACTGCAAAATCCATTTGATGATGCTGCATTTTATTTTGGTTAGTTTTTTTAATCTCTATAGTTTAGATTTTTAATAAGAAAAAAAAATTAATGATTGTTTATCAAGTGACACAGAATTGATTTCTGAGAACATAGAAACTATTTTAACAGTGAATGATGTAAACAAGGATGACAGTGCTAACACCGGTAAATAGTATATTACTATATTTTTTTACATACATATTCGATTTTCATACTAATATTTATTTTTAGATGACCATCAAAACACTTTTATAAATTGAGCAAAACAGCAATAAACCTCATACAATAACATCTGATACAAAAGGTATTGACTTAATTTCACTTTAAAAATTATATTTTTGGTAATGAATAACGTAAATTATACATATTCATATATGATTTTTTAAACACTGTGTTTTTATTAATAAAGTTGTAAATTAACCTTAGATAAACATTTTTCAGCACACCAACATAATGTAGAAAAACGGAAATCACATGAAACCATTAAACAACAATATTTTAAAACAAAACTAAGAAATACCAAATTAGAAAATAAATATTTAATTAATAAAAACAAATTGGAGCTAAACAAACATAAATTAGAAATACAAATTTTAAAATTAAAATTAAATAGGTTATAAGCTTCCAGACAGAAAAAGAATTAGTTTATGTTATGAATATTTTATTTTATTACTGTAACATATTTAGATTTAAGATTTTGACATTGTATAATTTATTTTTGTTAGCAAATGTTTCCCGTCCTCAGCCATAATTATAAACTTACTTAAACCTCTTATTATTAAACATTACTTGATAAAATAAATGGATAATTATTTGATTTTTAGTATATATAATATTTAAGTTTGTAATTACATTATAAAATAAGATTCCGGATGTAATAAATAATGAAGGTGATTTTAAACTATTTCCGTTTATGAATAATTGTAAACCGCATAATGCGGGTATAAAAACAAATGCAGGACTCCGATTACGGTCGTTGTAAGTTACTTTTTTGCCTTAAGGCTTTAACTAGCCTAAATGACTTTGACGAAACGGCGATCGCAGAGATTTTAGCCGATGTCAACACCGTCTAGCAACTACGTTCTGTATTACTTATAAAAGTGCAAAGATTAATAGACTGCAGAGATGACAATTATATAAGTGACATACTGCCTGTTATGCTTGCGCATCACTGAGAATTATGTCGCGGTTACGCATCCTCAATTACATTGTGCTGTAGCTTTGTCCGGTAAGCGTCACGAGCTATCAAGTGTTCAAGTTTCAAGTACGTAAGAGTTTTTTATTATATATGTTAAATCGTATTTATTTGTATCGTATTAATAGATCTGGGTCAAAGCGTTCGCTTTAAATTTTCCCGGGTTTGATCCCCGACAGCACGAATGAAATTTGTAATTGCAATTTTCGTCAACACGCATTGGGGAAGCACGGCGGGCATTTCCTTGCCCTAAAACCCTCTCAGAAATAAAAAAAGAGTCCTGTGCCCAGTAGCGGGACTTGTATAGACTATTACTTTACTTTGTAGCAATATTTATATTCGTTTCAGATATAGAAGGGTACCTTATGCTGACAAAAATATCATGTGGAGGCGACGAAAACGTAAAACATCTTTGTACCTAGATAAAACGTTTGAAAGATTGTCAGTCATGTCATACGCCACATTTTCTATAGAGCGTAGAACATTGCAGATAGGGCAAAATAAAAAATAATCCAAAATATTATGGGAACTATTTATTAATAATATATACATTTATAGGTATTTATAATAAAAATAATGAACAAGCTGCAAGATTCAACTAATAATGTTTTTTGTAAACATAATCATAAAATTCCTGTTTTAATTTTTACCAATGGTTAATTGATGAAACGTAGTCAAGATCACTTCATATAAAATATATTTAATTAAAATTGACACGTGACCTATTTGGCCTTCTACTTACAACTCGGCGGAAATTTGAAAAGAAGATTTTGTCTTTTCACACAAGTATTGTTTACAACTGGCGTGGTTTCGAAAAGCGTGATTAAGTGTCAGCGGTATATAATCAATTAAATACTGAACTTTTTTGAAATTTTTTTTTGTTTATTTTTGTTATATCCTCTTAAAAAATGACGGCATCTCTTTTATTATTTGTTTTTTTTGTAACGCATAAGGATAAGTTAGATTAAGTTAGATTAACTTGGATAAGGAGATTGAAAGTAAGATGAAAACAAGTCTCGAATATTAAAAGCATTTTCGGCACTGTTCATTCCGTTTTCTAGTATTGGTTGCAGGAAACCATTCTCGTTGTGATGTATTGGTTGCTGTATCTCATGTTGATTTAGATACTCTATTTCATAACTTCGCATAATATTATGTAAAATACATGTCGCTAGTATCAATGTGTCAACGTGAATCGGGTTCACATTAATACTTTTATTATAAATGCCAAATTTCTGTTACAATATTCCAAATGCATCTTCCACAACTTTGCGTGCTCGTGATAATCGTTCATTGAATATAGTTTGTGCCTCAGATAAGCCACGACAACGAGGGTATGGCCTCATTAAATTTTTCATTAGAGGAAATGCCTCATCTCCTATGAAAACATGTGGTATATCTCTGTTACTTCCAGCTGGTGGTTTATCGTTTGGAATATGTAATGAATTACTTTCAAGACGTCTCACTAATTTCGAAGATGCAAATATTCCACCGTCACTATTTCTACCAAAAGCACCTATATCAACTATTATAAATCTATATTTATCATCAACCACAGCCAATAGGACAACAGAAAAGTGCTTTTTATAATTAAAATACAGCGAACCACTATTAGCAGGTGCTATGATGTTGACATGCTTCCCATCTATAGCGCCGATGCAATTTGGAAAATTCCATCTGTCTTGAAATCCTTGAGCTATACTTTTCCACCGCTCTTCAATTGGCGTTGGAATGAAAATTCCCATTAATTTGTTTATGATTGCGTTACATACTTCTTGTATAATTGATCGGATTGTTGATTCGCCTAATCTAAAGCTTGAACTCAACGTCCTTGCTGAACTTCCCGTGATCATGTATCTGAAACAAAACTTTCTCTATTAATATTTCTAAACAAAAATAAACACATCTTAGCACAAAGACATCTCTTCACTTCGACTTTTTTCTTTTTCAGAATCAGAGTGCAAGAAAACATGGGCTAACTTAAGAGAAAGCTAGGGCAGTTGTTAAGAAACGCAAAAAAAGTGGTCATGATAGTGAGGTTGACGATAATTTTTATGTTAACGAATTGTTGTCAAATCACGATGATTCTCCCATGTCATCGAATGACCCAGAACTTAATATCACCAAACGACCAGAATCTTCTTCAACAAATACGTCAGCAAACTCTCCTTTGTTTCCGAACATGTACCTCAGCATCAGCTCAACTTTTACAATATTTACTTAAAGAAAAAGAGACAAATAAGGATGACGAGATTGACAAGTTTTTTTCGAGCATTGTAACAACAGTAAAAAAATTAAATCGTTACAGCCAATCTGTTCTGAAATCTAGAATATTCAACATGGTGTCTGAATTTGAATTACAAGAAATCCCGGAACAAACTAATTTCTATGCTGGTTCTTCACGACACAATACTGATATCGAAAGTCCTTCGGGTTATAACACCTACAATACAGGACCTTCGGGTTGTAACACCCACAATATAGGATCTTCGGATTATAACCTCCATAATGCAGGCCCTTCCGCCGGATCTTCGGATTATAACATCCATAATGCAGGCCCTTCCGGCTATAATACCCGCAATGAAGGATCTTCGGATTATAACCTCCATAATGCAGGCCCTTCCGCCGGATCTTCGGATTATAACATCCATAATGCAGGCCCTTCCGGCTATAATACCCGCAATGAAGGATCTTCGGATTATAACATCCATAATGCAGGCCCTTCCGACTTTAATACCCGCAATGAACAGCTTTCAGGCAATAATCCTCCAGTCTTTAAAAGAACCGATATTGAACAGTGAATTGGCTAATGCTACACTGAAAAATGATTCCTAAGATTAAAATGTGCTAGAAAACTGTTTCCTTATTAATTTTGAGTTAACATTGTAAGTGATAAGCAGTGATCGGAATAGGGTGAGTATATTTACCTACAGTTTGTAGAACAGAGACAAAAATCGGAGACTTCCTTATAATTAAACAATTTTTACTATTAAATTTAACAGAACTTTAATTACGTCAATTTAAACGTCTTATTAATTCAATAAAAACAGTCGAATTAAAAACTTTTTTTAAGTCATTAAAAATGTTGCACCATGTGAAAAAACTCGTAGAAAAAATATTAACGCAATAAATAACGCAAAACTTTTTGTAAGTCATTAAAAATGTTGCACCATGTGAAAAAACTCGTAGAAAAAATATTAACGCAATAAATGTTTTTATTGAATAAATAAGATGTTTAAATTCATGTAATTAAAGTGCTGGTAAATTTAATGGTAAAAAAAAATTTGTTATAAGGAAGTCTCCGATTTTTGTCTCTGTTCCATAAACTGTAGGTAAATATACTCACCCTATTCCGATCACTGATGATAAGTAATGTATATTAGAGACTGATTGGTACTATTTTTTTTTTCAAATAAATGTGTACAAATTTACAAGAAATGTTTCTCTTTCACTTACCTTAACGTGACGGCAATTTTTTCTATTGGTGTTATTGCTTGTCTGAATTTCGTATTCTTCTTTGTTATGTCTTTTTCAATAAATGATAATATGTAGTCAAATAAGTACCGATCCATATGAAAGTAAATGTAGAATTTTTCTTCGTCATCTAATAGGTGTGTCTGGATCTGCCAAAATTCTCCTTCTGCATGTCTTGCTTTCAGCATTTTATGCACCCAAAATCTTCGCCTGTTAGTTTTTGCGCTTCTCTCCTTCCTCAAGTGCAATAGCAATAATTGCTAGTTCGTGCTTTGTGAATCGGGACATAGTAAAAAATACGAGTTGCTTTAATGGAAACCGATCGCGAACTGTGGCTATCGCGAAAAGCGAGAGCGGTCGGCGGGTGGATAGCTGGCCGTCTGCTAGCTGTCGCCGCGTGGACTGCTGGGTGCCTGTTAGCTGTCACAGCGTGGACTGTGAGCAGTCGTCTTAGTTTAGGGCGGTGTTGGGTGGGAGCGGTGTTGGAGCAGAGTCGTTTAAGTGTGCTATGACCTTAAATCGCTAGTAGAGGGAAGTGGATATTTTTCGACCAGTAACTTTCTTTAAGCATACAGAGTAATCAACACACAACCTGACCGATCCATTACGTTTCAAAACAGGAACTATGGGAGAGGCATAATCCGAATGTTCAATGGGTTCTAGAATACCTAACCCGACCAACCTATCGATTTCTGCATTGACTTTATTACGCAATGCGAAGGCTAAGGGTCGCGCTTTGCGGAAAACCGGTTGAGCACCATCTTTCAATAATAATTTTACTTTATATTTGTTAAATGTTCCTAACTTATCTGAAAATAGTTCTGTATATTGTTCTTGCAATTTCTTAATCGATAACTCAGAATCTGCGCAATAATTTACCGGTACTAACTGTAATTTAAACATTGATATGAAATCCCTACTTAGTACCGGCGGGCCTCCGTCGCGGACAACGTAAAATACAATTAAATGTGTTTGTCCTGTGTAGCGCAGCGGCAACCGACACGTACCGATACATATTATTTTTGAGCCGTTATACGTCATTAGTTGTTTACAAGTACTTGATAACGGTTCATTTCTAAAATATTTTTTATAGAACTCTTCTGAAACTACCGTTACTGTAGACCCACTATCTATTTCAAAACGGAACGACTTTTTTTAATGAAAACTGTTTCTACCATAGGTTGTCCCCTAAATGAACGGATATAATAAATCCTACCGTCATCATCAGCGTCATCCTCACTCTTGTCACCGCACTCAACCTCTACGTAATTGACTTTACGACACATTTTACGCAAGTGGCCTTTTACGTGACACTTTTTACACACATAATTTGCAAATCTACAATCAGACGTTTTGTGATTCGTAAATCCACAAACATTTCACTTTCCCTACACATTCACTTTTGGTATTTTTTATTTTAAATAGCTGTTCATCTGCCGTCGTCAACTGGTGACCACGCGAAGCCGCAGCGGCGGCGCGCGCGCCTCATACTTTCTGCCAACTCCACGACCTTGGGCAGGGTAAAGGCGACAGGGTTCTTCGCGTACAGTTCTTCTTTCTCACGCCCCGGCTGCATGCCCATTATAAACTTATCACGTAACGCCTCTTCAACATTCAGAAACCCACACTTTGGAGCCCTCGCAGTCTTGCTGCCCATTGTGAATACGTTTCACCAACTTGTTGAACGGCGGCGTAAAAGTTGTGACGATCTCCGAACCCGGCGCTCTTCGGTGTGAAATGCGAATCCAGGAGTGCTAGGAAATCTTCATATGGCACTTGGTCAACGTCTTTTGGCAACGCCAAGTCCGTTGCTAACTGATACGTGGCCTCCGTGAGTGCGCTGAGCAGGATCGCCTTCCTCTTCTTGCCCGCGGGATCTTTCCGCTCGTTGATGTCGTTTGCGATAAAGTACTGTCTAATACGACCTTTGTACGTTTTCCATGTCTGCACATTGTGATCAAAACTATTTAAAATCCCAAGTTGAACACTTGGCTGAGACATCGTCGATAATTTTTTTTTATATTTTAAATCGCGGGTAGCTCGTCGCCACTGTTGGATATAGGGACGGACAAGTGATACGATCGCTGGCTAGCTTAACTGTTTATTGTTCACACAATAATTAGCGGTGGGCGCAGCCACGCACACATACCCAACACAAACGATTTAGATCACTTTGCAATTTATTACAATCTTTAGGTGTGTTTATTTTCCGAAAAATTTTAAGGTCTTCAGCATATAAGAGAAAATGGGTGTTTTTGAAGCAGGTATTAATGTCATTTTAATACCTGCTTCAAAAACACCCATTTTCTCTTATATGCTGTTTTATGAAGAAAACAAAAAGCAACGGCCCCAAAATTGATCCCTGCGGTACTACAGATGTCACATCTGAAGAAAAGCCATTGACTACAACCTTTTGGGTTTTATTTTTTTTTTACATAAGAAGCAAACCAGCGTAATAAATTCCCACGTATTATATATACGTAATTATTGATAAGCGATATATGGTATAAGTTTCGAAATGTCCTTTTTTGTGCGAAGAACATCAGCTCGAGCAAGTATAACACCGTGTTTAATCCAAACGAACCTATATCCACTTTGTTTGGCAATATCTCGAACTTGTCGAAATAGCTTCTTAGATTGTGGTGTTAAATGTTCATTTACATAAACTTTTTGAGGAGATCTTGTATGTTAATCTGATCAGATGTGACACCTTTGTTCAAACGCACTGCCAATTTGAAGTTGTCTCTAGCAATTTGGCTGAAAAATTTCACTATTACATTCTTCGGCCGTGATTTATTCGGGTTACTCTGGGGGACACGATGGATGGAGATGATATCACGTGCAGATACAGGTTGTTTTATTACGATGCGATTTCAATGATAGACATAAGGTTCTCTTCACGTTTCTCTGGAAGATTACTGATTTCTACGTTACAATTCCGCGCTCTCTGTACAATGTAGTCTAGTTTCGCCTCCAAGTAAGCAATACGTGGTTCATTTGTTTGGACGCTCTTTTCAATTATTTCTACTCGGATAACCTCATGCGTACATTTTTCGAGATCATCGTATTTATCGCTAATATATTTAATGGATGTCTTCACACTCGCAAAATCATTGAGCAATTTGGTGAATTTGTCATCTTGCCTAATAAACTAGGTTTCCAGCATGGACAGCATATTTTCTTGGAAGGACTTAAATTCATTAATGGCAGAAACCGATCTCTGGGCTAGATACTCCTTTAAGAAACGTAATTGTAGGGTGGCGAGGACTCATTATTAATAAGCATATCCAACTCGCAGTCGGACCTTCGCGCTTAGCCAGAACACGTAAAGTACGCCACACGGACACAAGTATACTCATACGCGGAGTAAAATAAAACAACCGGTTTGCGCCAGCACTCGACTCGGAATGTGTTAAAGTCTTAATAACACAAACGCAGTAGGGTTTGATAACATAGCAACCACTGCAATTAAATTATTCGCACTATACATTTTTTTAAAAAAACGTTACCCCCACACTAGAATTTTCTCCTGTATCGTGGAGGCAGTTTACAAACACAAATTTCACAAGGACAAACATCCAGACCCGGAACAATTATTTGTAGGCCCCAAATATCCATCCCAAATCCCAAATATATAGAAAAACTCAATCATCAAGCTACATTTCAAGAAAGGTGAAACATCTGAAATGAATAACTATATGACGCTGATAACCATCTTGTCAAAAATCTTCTAGAAAACTATGCTGAAAAGAGTTCAAGGATTTACGAAAAGTCATCGTATACTTAAAGAGAAGCAATTTGGGTTTAAGTACAAGTTCATTAGCATGTTTCAAATTGATAAAAAATGATGGCCTACCAGTAGCGGCAATCTTCGTTTTTGACATTTAATTTTTGACTTTCAAAGTAAGCAAGATGAACCAAAACCGTGAACAAACTTCACGTGGCAGAGGCCATTCCGGCGGTAACCGCCGAGCAGCCCGCGACGCGCGAAGAGCATATGAACATTATAACACGCGCAGACATGTTGCTGACTGGAGCTACGAGCCAGAACCCTACGACCAGAGACGGGAGGTAAACCGCCGTCCAACCCAGCGAACAGAGAGCTGGAAGAACCGAAATAAGAGCAGCAACAAAAAGCAGGAGAAAATTCAGGAAGTTAAAACCCAGTTAAACTGAGGATGCCCCACGAGATGAGCCTTTATATGACATTGGGCCTCACTCCTCTATGATCCCCGACCAAGACTGTTTTTGCCAAAATTTTGATTTTTCGGGATTTATCCCATTATTATCAGAAACATATGAGAAACTTCGGGGTATTGATCCAAGACTGCATGAACGGCTCCCTCAGTCCATGTTTTTTCATGCCATGAGCACCCACTTGAACCTTGATTTGTTAGAAACAGCCAGGAGTGCCGGCCAAAACGTGCTAAATTTGAGAACCGACGCACGTGAGATTTTGCCTGATTATCAAGTAATCCCTCAACCAATCGCCGATTATATATCACACATTACTAGTGTTATCACACAGGATGGACGTGAAATTAGGCTTAACCTACCACCGGTTGCTATACCACAGGGCCCTATAATCCAGGATAACGTGGAAGTGTCGCCCAGCGGCAGTTTCGGAGTTTTGAATGCTGAGACGCACAACGCATACGAGTGCTATATATCGCCGCTCGTTACGTCTAACAGAGTATTGGCGTCCATGCAAAACCAAGCCGACTACGATCCTTTACCACCAGATATCATCGCTGGTAACTTGGTGCCGAACCGCAATCTTCTCGGCTTCTAAGCAATTGATCTACAGAATGCAGGAGCTAATGCAAGACTCGCTGGAATTGTATTTCCAAACGATGACACCTTAGAAGGTAGATACAGATACTCAGCGCTACTTCAGACTAGAGTGTATACTGTTCTAGCTGAAATGAAGGACAGATTCAAGATGCTTCCTACACATAAGCAAGGCGTTTCACTTCGTAGACCACAAATTGCTCTTATACAAATTAGAAAAGTATGGAATAAGAAGTAAAGCTAACGACTCCTTGAGAAATTACTTATGTGACAGATACGATATGTAACAATATGTGGAAATATCTAAAAGCCATAAAGACAAAAAAGTAAAAGTGACTAACAGTCAAATGATTTTGACTGGTATAGAAATAAGAATGGTCCCATCTTATTCCTCATGTATATTAACGATCTCCTTAATATCACTCGCCATAACACAATCTTCTTTGCTGAAGACACAACCCTTATCGTGAAATGTGGAAATGCAGATACATATGAACTAAAGTTAAATAAGGCAATTAAAAACATAATAGACTGGCATTATTGTAATAATCTACAAATTAATATTGAAAAACTAAAATGATCCAATTTCAGACATATAAAAAAACCATTGAATATTAATGTTAAATATAATGATACAATCGTCGAATAAGTAGCAAGTACTGAATTTCTGCGTATAAATTTGAATCAAAATTGCGACTGGAAAACTCATGTCGATTATGTTTGTGACAAACTCGACAGATTTGTCTATGCAATAAAAAGATTACGAGTCACGGTATCAACTGAAGCTGATCTATGTGCATATCACGGATATGTTTCGTTCGTACTCTCGGTATTTTATTGTGGTGCAATTCGGTGAATATAACTTTACGGCCTGCAGCCCGTACATTTTTGTAGCGTCAGCAGTTTACGCTGATACGCTACAATAATGCATTTTGAGTCAGTGCGCTAATTGAGCCCAGCAATACCGGTCACGCGTGCTCGCAGTATTATTTCCCATCTATCATTAAATTAGATTTAGTTGGTTCTATCAATAAACTATCAATTATCAACTTTCCCGTATTGACTATCATTTACTATCAACTACTGTCAAACTACCAAACGTGGGGGTCCCGTCGCAGCCCCATTTTTCTGGTCCTTCGACAAACTTGCGTGTGTGTACAAAAACTGTGCATCACAAGTGAGAGCAACCAGCAGGAGACGTGAGCTATCATCGGATTATCAACATCGGGAATCGGTGAGCTGCAAACAGCTGAGCAGATCTGAGCGAGTAAGATCTTTCCTTTTTTATTATCACTATGTCCAACATGGAGGATATTGTGGCAAATCAACAACAATTGTTCGGTGCTATAGAGCGGAATTTTTCCAATTTTAAAAGGCATAATGCCAATCGAAAGACATTATGTCAAATGGAGGCTAGATGCTCAAGACAAATACTGGGCAGAATTTCAATATAATCATGGTATATTAAGTGGAATAGAGTATGCGAAGTCTCATTCCTATTTTACGAGTAACCAATTTGAATCGTTTAGAAATAAATACGAGAAAATTAGTACAGTAATCGCTACCTATTAGGCTAGGGATGACAGGCCTGCAAATCCAGTGTTTAAACCCGCTACATCGCTGGGGATGCCTGGACCATCTTGGCAGCCGACGCCGCAGGTTACCCTGTCCCAGTCCCAGGGGAATAATAGCAAGACGGACGAAATGTTACGCAAGCAAAATAGTAATTTTAAGGCATTCGAATACACAGTATTAAATATCAACTTAGATTAGATATCAGAAAAGTGGGAATTCTATCATTTACTACGTGCTATACAATCGCGTTGGTCTATAATTGATAATATGCATTGGGAGTTAGACATTGAGCTTTGGGGTAGGAACACAGATTATGAGTTATCATCTTTTACGTACGAAAGAAAATACAACGAGATTATCAAATCACATAATGGTAAGCCATGTATTTCCGACAAAAGATGTACAGAGTGCAATAAAGCGCATAATTCTATTCTGCATCAATCATTTCAACATAATTATAATAGTTCGTCGAAAGTAGCAACCCGCGGAAGCAACCAGAAACCTGAAACTTCGGGTTAAGTACGAAGCAACTCACACGTGTCGATGCAATGTGATGTGCCTGAAATTCTTTTAGCTACAGCTATACTTAAGGTACAAAAATATGATGGGAGTTTCGTCAACATGCGTGCTCTAATAGATCAGGGGTCCCAAGCTTCTCTCATCAGTGAACATGCGGCTCAGTTGCTCGGCCAACCTCGACTTCGATGTCGGGGAGTGATATCTGGAGTAGGTACTAAGGAGAGCAATTGTAAGGGCGTCATGACTATCAAATGCAAAGTTATAAATAACAATTTTGAAGTTGAACCGGAGGTATACACAATGAAAAGCCTTATCAAAAACTTACCTAACTTTAGCTTTTCAAAACCGTCCTCGATATTTAAATAACATCACTTTTTTTTTTTTAATTGAGTCACAGTTCATCTGCTGTTGTTTCTTTTACAGCACCTTTTATACGTTTTTTAAATTATTTTACTTTAAACATTTTATCCTGTTTTTTTTTTTCCTATTTTTTTTTGAATAATTTATAATTAACACTAATATTTTTAAAACTTATTACTAATTATCATGTATTCCGCTACTCTTTTTCATGTTTTACGCTAGTTACATTATCTGTTTGAAGCTAATTACATTAACTACTTCATTTTCTTATCTTTTATTATTTACAATGACCCTTTTATGTCTGTTAGTATAATATCCTTCCAATCAACTATTTTTACTGTACAATTACATTGACATAACTTTACATATTTTCTGTATCTTGATGTGAGTATTTTTTTTTCTTTTTTTTCCCTTATTATTTGTTAATGATAGTATAGAAAACATTTTTTTTTCACATGCTTTTGCACATATTATAATATAGTTGAACTTATTACTAATTGTTATGTGTTTCGTTATTAAATTAATATTTTACTCTAAGTACATACATAGTCTGTTTTAATCTACTTCCATTAAACTAATTCATTTCTTTTTCTAATACTATTTAAAACATTCCTTTTATTTCTACTAGTATTATTACGTTACTTTGTTCATTTATTACTTTGTGGTTCGAAATGTAAGTATAAAAGTTTTATTATTACTATTTCTCATATTATTATTATCAATATTTGTTATTTGTGTTTTGAATTATTCTCTTTGAGAATAATTTCAGTGCTTTGTTTTGCGAATTTTAGAAAGTGAAATCGACTGTCATTGTTGTTAATAGCTTTACATAAGGTTTCCTCTTTTAGCGCAAAGCCCATACTTTGCTCGCATGAAAGTCTTGCATAAGCGAATTTCGGACAGTCTAAAAGGATATGCTCTATTGTTTGCAATGTTTGATTATCACAGCTACAGTAGGGGCTTTGTGACAACTTAAATCTAAACAGGTATGATTTAAAGCCTCCGTGAACTGTCAGAATTTGTGAAATGAAATTGTTCATTTTTACTTTACACATAGTTTTATATGCTTCTTTTATACAAGGAAAGAATTTTCTTGTCGTAGACCCTGTGTTGGATGTGCTGTACCTTTCTTGCCACCTTATAATTGAGTTGTCCCTGATTAGACGCTTTGCAAAGGACAGTGGGAAACAGTCGTAAGTTGGCGCTTGCTTAGACGTCTGCGCTGCTAATTTCGCCAATTCGTCAGCTCTTTCATTCCCTGGGATTCCACAATGAGCTTTAATCCAGAAGAACTTCACCTCACCTTGGTTGTTACGTATTTCCTCTATATCTTCTAGAATTTCAGCTACCAGAGGATTAAGAGTGCTAGGATTTGAAAGGCTTTCCAGGGCCGACCGAGAGTCACTCAGTATATTAGACTTACTAAATCCCCGTTTGCTTTTTATGATACTGAGTGCCTTCAATATTGCAACTAGTTCCGCCTGGAAAACGCTGCAGTGATTACCTAATTTTATTTTTACCTTGTGGGTTTCCCTTCCATTTTCCCAGCAGCTTACAGCGGCCCCAACCTTTCCTGCGATTTTACTACCGTCAGTATAGATAGCAGGCCAGTTGTTTTCTATCATTTCAACATCCTTTTCTGTACATATGTCATTGTAAGTCTCTGGGACACGGAACGCTGGATGTGGAACGTTAAAAGAACTTATTGGTATGGCAAGTTTCCTCCCTGGTAGTTGCTCAATGGACTTTCCTCTTTTTATTTCGTATATGTTTAGTTGTTCTTGAGCTCTTAAGTCTAGTGGTATAATTCTTGCTAAGGCGGCACAGGAAGTTAGCGAAGATGTTCAATGAGCTTTACAAATCATAATACAGAATACTCTCGTTATAGTATCAAGACGTTTGCGTATCTGTATTCTTGATGCTTTGTTTCCCCAGCAAGCTGCCGCATATACTTATATATATGCGGCATACTTTAACGGTGGTAGAGCCTTGCAGCAGCTTTTGCTGTTGCACGTATGGGCCGGCTCGAGCCGGGTTAGTACCACGACCTCACAGAATACCGGCGTGAAGTGGAAGCTCTGCTTCCGCGTTTCGTCTGGTGAGTGCAGGTGACCGGATGCCCAATTCCCCCCCCCCATCAACATGGTAGCGGAATTACGTCATAAACTACCCCAGGAGGGTACCAGTACCCCTGGAGAATCCCTCGCTGAGCATCCACGACCATGCTATTCCACTCCTGAGCGTGGGTGCTCAGGCTGCCCCGCGTATTCTGGGGGGGGCAAAATTCCGCTCAACACAATAACTGCTCGGGGCAAACTGAGTAACAAGACCAAGGCGGCCACGCTATCCGTGAATTTCTGCAACATCAGGGGACTTCACTCGAACCTAAACGCCGTCCACTACCATCTTGAGACGGCGAAGCCGGCCTTGCTCTTTCTGACCGAGACGCAGGTGTCCTCTCCGGCTGATACTTCGTATCTCTCCTACCTGGGGTACAAATTGGAGCACTCCTTTGTGTCTCGGGCTGGAGTTTGCGTGTATGTCAGAGAGGACATCTGTTCTCGACGCCTCGGCAGTCTTGAAGGTTCGGACCTGTCCATCCTTTGGCTACGCGTAGACAGCGACGACCATCCGCGCGTCTACGTGTGCCTCTATAGGTCCCATAGCGGTAATGGCGAAACAGACCGACTCATCGACCACGTCCAAATGGCTACAGATTCCTTGCTACAACAGGTCCCATCCGCAGAGATCGTGATCCTTGGCGATTTTAACGCCCACCACGCCGAATGGCTCGGTTCACGTTTAACCGATCATGCGGGGAGATCTGTTTATGACTTTGCCTTGGCATATGGTCTGACACAACTGGTTACATCGCCTACGCGGATTCCAGATGTTGAGGATCATACACCTTCCCTGTTGGACCTTCTGCTGACCTCTCATCCGGACGGATATCAGGTTTCCGTCGATGCCCCTCTTGGCTCTTCGGACCATTGTCTGATCCGGAGTGTGGTGCCACTCACGCTCCCCTCGCGGTTGCGTTCTGCAGATTGCCGCCGTGTTTGGCATTACAGGTCGGCGGATTGGGACGGAATGCGGTCTTTCTTTGCTTCCTACCCATGGGGGCGGGTTTGCTTCTCGCCGGATGATCCCAGCGCTGTTGCTGACTCTGTCACTGATGTAGTGCTACAGGGAATGGAACTATTTATTCCATCATCTGTGGTACCCATCGGAGGCAGATCTCAGCCTTGGTTTGGTCGCTCCTGTAAGACTGCATTACGCAGTAAGCAGGAGTGTTATCAAGCCTGGGCTGCGGCTTCGGTGACTCGGGATGAAAACACCAACACACTCAAAAAGAAGTATAACTTCGCCTCCAGGTCCTTCAAAAGAGTTATTGCCAAGGCAAAGTCAGAGCACATAGGCAGAATTGGCGAGAAACTAATTCGCCTTCCTTCGGGAACCCGTGCATTCTGGTCTCTCGCCAAGGCTGTCCAAGGGAATTTCTGTAAGCCATCACTACCATCTCTGCACAGGGAGGACGACTCACTGGCCCACGACGCAAAAGAGAAGGCCGACCTTTTAGGCTCCCTTTTTGCGTCCAACTTGACTGTTGATGACGGGGGGAACACACCGCCGACCATCCCGCGGTGTGAGTGCTCCATGCCGGATGTGCGATTCTCACAGCGCTCGGTTCGCAGAGCACTCCTCTCCCTTGACATCCACAAGTCGAGTGGGCCTGACGGAATCCCCCCAATCGTGCTGAGGACGTGTGCTCCGGAGTTGGCACCGGTTCTAACGCGTCTTTTCCGGTACTCCTACTCCCTAGGCGTAGTCCCGAAATCATGGAAGACAGCTTTTGTCCACCCGATCCCTAAAAAAGGCGACCGCTCAGATCCGTCCAACTACAGGCCTATCGCCATCACCCCCTTGTTCTCCAAAATAATGGAATCCGTTGTAAACTGCCACCTCATGCGGTACCTTGAGGATCACCAGCTGATTAGTGACCGCCCGTACGGTTTTCGTCGGGGTCGATCAGCTGGTGATCTTCTGGTCTACTTAACTCATAGATGGGCGTTGGCAGTAGAGTCCAAGGGGGAGGCATTGAAATTTTCTCTAAATTGTGTAATCAGTTGGCCCCCATATATCTCCGTACTATTCTTAGTAAATATTTATCGTTAAATATTTAAATTTCGTATTATTCATTCTCTTATAGTTGTAAATTCATAAATAAAACATAAATTCATCTCTAACCTTGCTGAAAATTGGTCTTTTCTTTACATATTTTCCTTTTATATAGTATAATTCATTGCCCCCTATAATTCCCTGTAGTTTTTTAATAAAAATTTCACAGTTTTACAACAAATTTTTAAATAATCCGTCTTTTAATTGTCGTAATTTCATAAAATTTTAAAAATTTTTCAAATCTTCTTTTATTTCGTTCTTTTTGCTTCAGTTAGGTCCGCGCCGTGTAGAAACTGCCAACTGCACTAAAATCTGCAAAATAAAACACAAGGAATTAGAGAAAATCGCTACTTACCTAAACCGAGGTATAGTGGTGAATCCCTTACATTTATATAAATTCAACTACAAATTCGCAAATAACTTACCTGAAAATTGATATTTTTCGTTCAAATTTTCTCTAAATTGTGTAATCAGTTGGCCCCCATATATCTCCGTACTATTCTTAGTAAATATTTATCGTTAAATATTTAAATTTCGTATTATTCATTCTCTTATAGTTGTAAATTCATAAATAAAACATAAATTCATCTCTAACCTTGCTGAAAATTGGTCTTTTCTTTACATATTTTCCTTTTATATAGTATAATTCATTGCCCCCTATAATTCCCTGTAGTTTTTTAATAAAAATTTCACAGTTTTACAACAAATTTTTAAATAATCATTCTTTTAATTGTCGTAATTTCATAAAATTTTAAAAATTTTTCAAATCTTCTTTTATTTCGTTCTTTTTGCTTCAGTTAGGTCCGCGCCGTGTAGAAACTGCCAACTGCACTAAAATCTGCAAAATAAAACACAAGGAATTAGAGAAAATCGCTACTTACCTAAACCGAGGTATAGTGGTGAATCCCTTATATTTATATAAATTCAACTACAAATTCGCAAATAACTTACCTGAAAATTGATATTTTTCGTTCAAATTTTCTCTAAATTGTGTAATCAGTTGGCCCCCATATATCTCCGTACTATTCTTAGTAAATATTTATCGTTAAATATTTAAATTTCGTATTATTCATTCTCTTATAGTTGTAAATTCATAAATAAAACATAAATTCATCTCTAACCTTGCTGAAAATTGGTCTTTTCTTTACATATTTTCCTTTTATATAGTATAATTCATTGCCCCCTATAATTCCCTGTAGTTTTTTAATAAAAATTTCACAGTTTTACAACAAATTTTTAAATAATCCGTCTTTTAATTGTCGTAATTTCATAAAAGAAAATTGGTCTTTTCATATTGAGGGACGTGCTGACGATAAACACTGATGATGACATAACCGCTCCTATTAGGAGCCAAAATAAAAATCTGTTGGAATCCTTGGATAGCGAAGAATATAGATTATCAGTACGTTACCGCAAAAAAACAAGAAACCCGCACACTAATCATGTTGTCCTCCAGGTCTCCCCACCAATATGGAAGCGATTGATAGAAGCAGGACGAATTCACGTGGACTTGCAACGTATCGTGGTGGCGGACCAGTCACCATTAATTCAATGTTCCAGATGTCTCGCTTATGGGCACGGTAGAAGGCACTGTAAGGAATCAGATGACATATGCTCTCACTGTGGAGGCCCACATTTAAAGACCTCATGTACTGCCTTTTCGGCTGGGGAAGTGCCTTCTTGTATTAACTGTGTTAAGGCAAAGACGGACCGCCAGGACCACAACGCGTTCGACAATGAGTGTCCAGTGCGTAGAAGATGGGATGCAATAGCTAGAACCAGTGTAGCTTATTGCTAAGGTTGAATTAGGAAACAAGTGCGGAGAGTCAGTAAAACAAGTTGAAACAGGGGCACCAACTATGTTGGTCGTACAAGCTAATCTTCAGAGGAAGGAACTCGCAACGAACGAACTAATGTTAGAAGCAAGCAAGGGAGGGATGAGCTTAGCCCTGATCCAGGAACCATACGTGGGGAGAGTCGGATATATGAAGGACTATCGGGGAGCGCGCATATTTCAAAGTACTCAGACAGAGGGAGTGGTAAAGGCGTCGATTGCTGTCTTTGACAGCAAGATCTACGTTACTCAATGTCCGACTCTTACCACCAAAAATATCATTGTGGTTATAGTAAAAACAAATGCCTGGGAGATGGGTGTCATCTCACTTTATCTGGAGCCGGATAAACCCATCGAACCGTATATGTATCAATTAAAAGATATAGTTACGAAATTGGGTAAAAGAAAAATATTGGTAGGAGGGGACGCAAATGCGTGGAGCCCGTGGTGGGGCAGTGTGAGAGAAGATAGTCGAGGAGAAACGCTCTTAGGTACTTTAAATCAGCTCGGTCTTCAGATAATAAATAAAGGAGAAACTCCAACCTTTGATACGGTGAGAGGTGGCAAAATATACCAGAGCCATGTTGACATCACAGCGTGCTCGGAAAATCT